AAAAAAAAAAAAAAAAAAAAAAGAAACAAAAGGTAGATATAATTTGAACATGTAGATGATTTAATGTTGAGCTAACAACAACAGGATTAGTAAAATTAGCATATTTCAACTCTTTAAAAAAAATTACTGCTGTTACTTTTACCACTAATAATACTTCAGCTAAAATTTTAAGTGCTCTGTAAACTTTTTTTATGTGTTAAAGTAATCTTTATAATCCTCTAAGGTAGGTATTATTACCACCACTTTACAGAGGAGGAAGCAGGCTCAAAGAGGTTAAGAAACTTGCCCAAGAATACACATCTTATCAATTAAAGAATAATAGTAGGAGTGTGTATGTAATGAATTATTGTCTGATGGGGTAAAAATTCCATAGTTTGAGAATCAGAATAGCTGGGTTCATGTACCCTCACTTTCTTAAGACTCCTATGATTTTTCCAGTACTGATTTGGGGAGAGGGAAAGGAGAATACTTTGTAGATATTAATAATTTTTAACATGATGAGGAATATCATTAAAAGCAAACCTATTCGGCTGGGTTGCATTTCAGGAGTAGAATACTCGCTTAGTATCCTCAGTACCATTTTGTAAAGCCTATTCCTATAATCCAATGTTTCTCTATCATAATATTAACACATTTTGCATGAATAAATGGGCTTTAGTTCAAATCTTGGCTCTTCCACTTAACAGATTGGGCTTCTCATTTCTGTGAAGCTGTTATAATCAGGCTTAAATAAGATCTTGATGAACTGAATATGGGTGGCCTTTATGGAGTGCTCTAAAAGGCAAAAAGGATCTGACACGTTGAACTTGACTCATTCACTGAATTGGTTGTTTCTTTTTTCCTTTTTGTGCTTATCAGTATGTATCAGTAGTCTTGAAGATTTGCCTGTAGTGCAAGGAATTTTTTTTTTTAGTTTTCGATTTGGAAAAGTTTTAATTCTACCAAAACACATAATAGTACAATGAGAATTCCTTTATCTAGATTCAGTTAATATTTGGACATATTTGTACTATCACTGTATCTAAACTTCTTCCCTGAAGTGGTTGAATATGTCTTGTAGAAGTGATACTTCTGTATCTGTAGAAACTAGAACTTTACTCCACATACCAACTGAACTTTGGTAAAGCATAAGAAATTTCACATTGTGATGGCTAGTAGTCTATATTCAACTTTCCCCAATAGTTTAATAACTATATAGACTTTTATAATATAAAAACATTCATTCAGAGGTCATTATAATTAATGGCATGTTTCTTCAGTCTTTAAATCATTCCTTAGGGCGAGGGCTTTTGTTATGTGGACATTTTTTGAAATACCCAGGTGATTTGTTTGGTAAAACATCCTACAGTCTAGATTTGCTTGCTGTCTTGTGATCAGAATTAGATTAACTTTGTTTTTAGAGCAAGAATACTACCTCCATGGTGATGTGTGTTTCCATTGTATTACATTAAAAGGAATGTAATATTATATTGTTCCATTATTGGTACTGCTAATTTTAATCATTTGGTTTAGTTGGTCCTCATGAAAGAATTCTGGTAAAACTCTATGAAGTATATTTTCATTTGATAATTAAATTTTTCAAATCAAAGGCTTAAGTAATTTGCAGAAGGTATACTTTTTAGTGGATTCCAAATCATTTTCATCTTGAACTTCTATTACTATACCTGCAAGTTTTTATTTTTTAATGTAATGTATCTTATAACCTATTATGCTTTAAAACAAGGGTATTTATGTAATGGAAATTTAATTTTAAAACTTTTTTGTGATTGTACTGTAGTATTTTTAGGAGTGGTACAGATTTCAGTCAAATGAAAAATAAAAAAATAGTAAAGTTTGTTGAAAATGAAAGTGGTAGGGCTGAGACCACCCCCCCCCGCAAGTAATTGGTGAACTTATTTTAATTTTTTTCTCTTTCATTTCCTTTCCTTTCCTTCCCCCTTCCCCATTTCCCCTTCCCTCTTCCCCCTTCCCCCTTCCTTCTTCTTCTTCTTTTTTGTACCAGGGATTGAACTTAGGTCCTTGAACTTGTGAGACAGGCAACAGAACCACTGAGCTAAATCCCTGGCCCCTAATATTTCTTATTTTAGAATGAGACATACCTTCACATTAATTGTAATTTTATCTGTTTTATTTTTGTAGTGCTTTGGACTGAAGCCAGGGCCACATGCATGCTAGGCAGCAAGTGCTTTACCACTGAGCTATTTCCCTAGCCCTACCTTTTTATTTTTGTGAGTAATAAATTTGTAACTAAATTTTTGAGAATGGAAGTTTTGTCATAGTTAATCACTATTTATTCTTTCCACATTATGTACTAGAAATTTTTTTAATCAAATTATTTTAATGACTTTATATGTCAGCTTAAAACTTCAATTTTCTTGACATTGAAGTATTAGAAACCATGTGATTTGCATAAAAATTTCTTATCCATTTTTTTCAGTGGCTTTACCAGTGCTTATTAAATGACTTCTAATACTTGTAGCTTTTTCATATAAACTCTGCAATTGCTGTCAAACAGTAATTAATAAATAAGACTTAATTTTTATCAGAGGACACCTGACTGCATTTTTCTGTTAAAAAATAGACACATTTGTGGAACCTTCTGTAAACCAGTAACATTTTATAGAATTCATCTTGTTAAATGCATTACTGAAGCAGTCAAGTTGATTGTTGAGTCAGAGTTTAAATAAGAGTTGGGATGTAGCTCAGTGGTAGAGTCCTTGCCTAGAATATGCAAGGCTCTGGATCAATTCCTAACACCTCTTAAAAAAATTAGAATGAATCAAATAGAAACTAACCAAACAAAAATACTTTTTAAAAAAGCTATATAAATAACATAATCTTATTATTTTATAATAGGATATAACAATAGCTAAAATTATAAGTCATTTTATCAGAAGTAGTTTTGTAAAACGTATTAAACATCTGTCAGATTTTAGCTAAAAAGTGAATTAGACTGGCAGCTAGCCTATATTGTTTTTGTAGTCACAGCAGTATAAAAAGCATTAAACAATTTACAAAGTAATACATGATCATTTGTCATTGGAATAAATACTTCATGATATGACTTGATGGAAAACAATTTTAAGCTGCCTTACTGAATGATGACAATGATATCAAGTGTGAATATAGTGTAAAAAGCATTGTCGAAGTGCTTAACATTTTACCCTTATCTCTGTGAGATAAGTAGTATTGTTAATTCATTTTGTTGTATTATTTTGGTTTTTTGAGACAGTCTTTCTTTGTAGTTAAGGCAGTCATTGAACTGAGTAGATAGTCCAGACTGGCCTCAAACTCACAGCAGTCCTTTGCCTCAACCTCCTGGGTACTGTGTTTACAGGTGTGCACCACATCTCAGCTCTCCATTTTCAAAGATTAAGGAAACTGATGCACAGAGGTCAAGTTACTTGCCTAACAAGACACAGCAAATAAGTGGCTGAGCTGGTGTTTGAACATCAGTCTTGGTTGTCTGGAAAACATTCCTGGTCTCTAAAAGAATCAGCATCACCAACCTGTACTGTGTTAGTTATTTGTAGGTTAGTGTTTAATCTTTCTAGAGATGAGTGTTGAGGTAATCCATAAAGAATGTCTTTAACTTTCTGTGTGGGAGGGAATGAAAGCCCTTTTTATGAATCCCTTTGCTCTGTTCTCGTGAGGCTCTCCCACAAGACCACTGCACTTGTTGGCCATTGGGATGGAAGAAGTGAAATTGCTTCCTTTACCCTACTCTGTAGTACCACAGTATATCTGATTTTAGAGTATGCTAATAGAGCCTAACCCCCACATCATACAAAGCACACTCACATACACAGAAAGAAATGTCTTTGGAGGGTTTATGATGCCTTAAAGCTTCCCAGTATCAATATTTCAAATTGTCCCTTTGTTTGTCACTCCAGGAGGTTTATACACGCTGAGGCAATGCACCATAGTAAGATGGCTAAGAGGTATGCTTTTGTTTTGTTTTCAGACCTCAGGTGCATAGACTTGGTTTAATCATAATCTTCATGTCACTCATCATTGGTCCATGCATGGCTCTCTTTTATTTATTTTAGTTACTTTGATAGTCACTTTAAATAATGGCAATAAGCAGCCATGAACCTACCAACCAAAAGCTAGAACTTTGAAAATAACCTACTTTAATCATATCATAACCCCTCCTCTCACCCACTTGTCACCTTATCCTTTCTCCACTTAAAGGTAACCATTGTCCCTTTTTTATGTTTTTAATTTTTGGTATATACTTTTTGTTGTCATCTGTACATACTCTCATAAAAAGTTATATTTTAAAATTTTAGTTTTTAATCTTATAAAAGGGTTTCATACTGTTTGTAATCTTTTGGAAATGGCCTTTTAAAACTGATATTGATAAGGTTCGATCATACTGTTGCATATGCCTTTATAACACGAGGTAACAATAACTGTGAAAGAGGAGGTGTGGAAGAACTTGCCTGAACATGCAGGCCATTTTCAAAGTTCAGTGTTAGAAAGGAGAACACGTGGATATGGAAATTCCCTTGAACCAATTCTAGGTATACCCTTTTGAAAGTCTCAAGGATGTGTACCCTTCAAGGTAAACATCCAGGTTGAGGACTTCGGGTAGATATCATCAGGTGGGGTTGCTTAAAGGAATTTATAGGTATTCTGGGCAAGTTTATTAACCTTTCCAAGCCTCAGTGTTCTTTAAAATAGATACACGAAATTCTATAGATTTTTGTTCTGTTTTGTATTTTAGTGTGATGAAAACATTTAAAAATCAAATATTTGTCTTTTTTTTAAGCAAAAGTCATTCTGTAGTGTTACTGATTTTTGTGAAATTGCATTAAGGTAGAATTGTTTCAGAATTAATTGTAGGTGACTTTTATAGTGAACTAGTTATTCAGAACTTCATAACTGATGAGCCTCTCTGTGCCTGGAGTACCTATTTTTGAAACTCACCTGTAGCTTCAATTTAATGTCAGCATTTGGTTATAGAAGCAATAAGAAGTTACTAAAAAAAAGATTTAGTGTAAAGTTTTTCACAAATTGTTATGTTCTAGCTTTTGCTCCTTTATTGTTCATGTATCTAATCTCTGTGAAGGCATATTTCTGCCTCCTTCCTGTTCATCATATGGTGTATTTATTAAGAATTGCCTTTAAAAGGTTGCACCAGGGGTAATGCTAGCGTGCTTTAATGAATATATATATATATATGTCATTCATAATTTATCAATTATTCAGAAGCCAAAGAAAAATAGTCCATCTCCAAAGGTAAAGCTGAAGATGGTGGGATATCAAGGATGATTTTTATTAAAGGAGTTTTACAGAATCTATGTATGAAGTCTTCAACAATGACTTTGGGGACAGTGATGGCTTTGGTGCTATATTGTAACTTTAGCATATTTTTCTTAAGCGCCATTTACAACTCTATATTTACAAATTTTTTCAGCCTTCCTTTATGGCAAGATTGTCATGAGTTATGGAGTAAAAAGCGAAGAAGACAGAAGCAGATGGGCATGACTGATGATGTTTCCACCATTAAGGCTCCCAGAAAGGACTTGTCTCTGGGTTTGGACGACAGCAGAACTAATACACCACAAGGTGTGCTGCCAGCTACACAGCTAAAATCTCAGGGCAACTCAAATGTAGCACCTGGTCAGTAATGCTTCTGTGGGTTGGTTTTCTTCACGTTGTTTTGTGGCTAATATTGATTACATTGCTCTACTGCCAAAGCATCTTGTGGCTGAAAGATGAAAAGTAGGGTTTATTCATGGAACTTGATGTTTCTTTATTATTATTCCAGTGTAGAAGTTGCATTGCTAATGGAACTCCAATTTTAAACAGTCTCAGAGTAAGATAGTTTTGAAAGAGGCATCAAATTACCTATGATTGGTGATTGGTCAGATTTTCTTTTTTATTTTTACCCTAGCGCAGGAGTTACTACATTTTTTATTAAAACTATTCTTGGGGAGACTCAGCACTTCGTGTCTGTGGGTACTTAAAGAGTTTAGGAAGAAGATAGGAAAGACAGCCAAAAGTCATGGAAGCTCTTTCATGCCACTTATAATGTTATCAGGTCACTCTTAATAATTCTCCTGTTGTATCAGAATTTCAGAGATTGGAATCTGATACTTGTGCCAGAAATAAAACATGATAAGGATTCTTTATATTCAGTTATTTTGGTAAACCTTAGATTTGTTTCAAATCTAGTAAGAGTGACCTGCTTTATAAGAAGTAAGCCTCTTTAGTGTTGTCAGAAATGTTAAAATCGTTTAGTCAACTTATAAAAAATAAAATTCACTTCCTCATTTTGCCTGAGGAATCCAGAAACATCTTCAGCTTCATTTTAGAATTTCATGAAGAAATAGATAGTTATAAAAAGTGAGAGTTTGTGTTTGTGGGTGTGAGAAATGGTAGTGTATTAAATGAAAAATACACTAACACCTATTAGAAGATGAGTAAATATTGATCAGTAAGATGATTAAAATAGAGCTATGGATGAGATTGAAGTTCTGGTGATTGAGTATAAATATAGAATAGATTAGCTGAGAAAGATTACCATTAATACACAAGCTTATCCTTGACCTTAGCTAGACTACATATTTAAAGAACCTCAGGCTTTTAAAAGAAATGAAAAGAAGTGTTTTTTTGCTGTTCAGAAGTACTCTTATTGAGGGCTAACAGCTATCATGTTCAGTATACTTTTTATCTTACAAATGTGTAAAATTTGGACAAAGGCAATTTCCTAATTTGTGTTTATGTTACATGTTTTATATACCATCTACTGCTAAAAGAGGTTTTGAGATGACAGTGACAGGAAATTTGGATGGTGGGGTGAGTTATCCCAGGTAGTGGTTGTCATATAACAATACTATCAGGTGACTAGGAGTAAACCTAACACAAGGTAGTTGTTTTAGTCTATTTTATCTGATGAAAGATGAATTTCCCTTTCTAGGCTCATTTAATGATTATTAGCTCTTATTTTACCTCCTAAGTTTTGGTAGAGTTTTGTTTTTTTCTTTTTTCCCCTTCTTCCTTTTCTGTTCTCTTTTCTAAGACTTTATTTAAAGCTAGAATCTCCATAATCAGTGTTCTGAATAAGAAAATGTCCCTCTGCGGAATAGAGATTTCAGTTAAAGAATATTGTCCTGAGTTCATATGAAGATTGTTTTTGCTAGTAGAAAAATTTTCACTTAGCAGTTATCGCGCCTTGGATAAACCTTATTGGATAGGATACTGCCACTGCACAAAGCTTTGCTAGTAGAAAAATAAAAAGGAAAACTGCCTCTTGGTATACAGCAAACAAACAGTTCCTTGTTGCAAATCATAAGAACTTGGAAAAGCTTGTTTTGAATTAACTTAAAAGTAATATTAAAAGGTAATAAAAAGTATCTAAAATATAAAAATACAGTAATTTGAATATTAATAGCATTAATGCTCTTTCATCTTAGAGTTCTCTTGTTAGTCTGTCATCTGTGTTATGGGAAGTGCTTATCATGACTCACCATAATCTTATCACTTACTGTATATAACAGTATTGAGGATTGCTGGTATATATGACTCGCAAATGTATATATACATTACTGGTATTTATAAGTGCATAAGAACCCGTATTAACCATCCCCAGCTAAACTGAAAGTCGGGAAAACAATTGAGTCTGTTTTACTGGCTAGTTAATCCTGGTGTATATACATATGCTGTGTAGGCCTTCCCAATTTACCCACAGTAACTTTTTAAAAATTCAATTAAAAACACAGAAACTGTGCTCGCTTTAGCAGCACATATACTAAAACACAGCTGTTCAACAGAGTCTGTTAAGCATTCTACTTTCAATTTACTGCCAAGAAAAGGGTAGTTTCCTTTAGTTTAGAGAAGCGGTAAGGTGTACAAAACAGCTCAGATTCTGGAATTAGGGCTCAAATCTCACCTCTGCCACTTACAGAAAGGGAAGTCCTGGGCAAGTTGTTTAGTTTCTTAAGGTAAATTTGTTCTTCAGTAAAATGAGGCTGAAGATAGAGCCTGCCTTGGAAGGTGGTTATAAACAATAAAAAGTATAAAATTCTTAGAAATATGACACTCTCTTAGCTGTCGTCATTATTATTCATTTCTGTATCATAAGGTGATATTTCCTGGTTCAGTCTGTAGTATGTGTTTTGGTAATAATTTTTAGTTTCCTTTTAAAGTTTTTATCCCTAAAGATAGCCTATTCAAAATTGACTGCAGTTCCTTTTCATTTTGATTTATATTGCAGTTTCATCTTAAATGTCCTGATAGTGAACTTGACTGAGGTACCCTCTTAGTGTTTCTGAAACACCCTCAGATGTGCATTTTAATATGATAACCTGAAGCCATTTTGGAGGGTGGGAAGACCTGTGAATTGTGGCAGTTCTAATTAATACAAATTTTGTCTTTAGTAATAACAGGCCCCGGACAGCAGTTAAACCACAGTGAATTGGCAATTCTACTAAACCTACTACAGTCTAAAACAAGTATTAATATGGCTGATTTTGTGCAAGTGTTGAACATTAAGGTAAACTCTGAGACTCAACAGCAACTAAATAAAATAAACCTTCCTGCTGGAATTTTGGCAACAGGTGAAAAACAGACAGATCCATCAACACCACAGCAGGAGTCTTCGAAACCATTGGGAGGAATTCAGCCTTCTTCTCAGACTGTCCAGCCGAAAGTGGAGACTGATGCTGCCCAGGCTGCTGTGCAGAGTGCATTTGCAGTTCTGTTGACTCAGTTAATAAAGGCTCAGCAGTCAAAGCAGAAAGATGTGCTACTAGAAGAGAGGGAAAATGGTTCGGGATATGATACATCACAACTCAGGCCACCTCCAGAACCTAGCACACCTGTATCGGGTGAGTGTGTGACCACTGGGCTACTCAGGACTGGATTCATGCTGTTTTTTCTTCAGTGGTATTGCTAGGCCATGTCCCAAAAATGCTCAGGTCACTGCTATTAGGTTGGTTTCTTAGTCTATTTACCAGGAATGGATTCTTTGATGACTTACCTACATGTGATATAATTGATTATGAATGCTATAGATTTTTCTAAGACAAGCCTATGATTCACAAATAATCTTTTATTCCAAATACAAGAGGATTCTTGACCAAGGCATAAATATAATATATATGGTGACTTTTGTATCTCATGGGGATATGTGAATAACTTTGAAAAGCCAAATACAATAAAATACTTTAGACAGCAGGTGACATTAGCACTTGGGAACATTTTTCCTTTTCAAGTAATATTTTTCCAGAATGAAAACATCTAAACAATTTTGGGATCACTCCATAGGAAACATTGACTATTTTGAATATTTAGTTTTCCATGGTAGCTTTGACTCTTTTTTTTGCTTTTTTTCACTCAGGGCAAGATGACCTCATCCAGCACCAAGATAGAAGGAGATTGGAGCTAACACCAGAGCGACCTCGGATTTTGCCTCCTGATCAACGACCTCCGGAGCCTCCTGAACCACCACCAGTCACCGAGGAAGATCTGGATTATCGGACAGAAAACCAGCATGTACCTACTACTAGTTCTTCATTAACTGACCCTCATGCTGGAGTGAAAGCAGCCCTGTTACAGCTTCTTGCTCAGCATCAGCCCCAGGATGAGCCCAAACGAGAAGGTGGTATTGATTATCCAGCAGGAGACACTTACGTCCCCACTTCAGACTACAAGGATAGCTTTGGAACATCATCTTTCTCCTCTGCTCCTTATGTTAGCAGTGATGGTCTAGGAAGTAGTTCTGCTGCACCATTGGAACGACGTAGCTTCATTGGAAACTCAGATATCCCGTCTTTGGATAACTACAGTACTGCTTCATCTCATTCTGGTGGTCCACCTCAGCCTTCTGCCTTTTCTGAGTCATTTCCTAGTTCTGTAGCTGGATATGGAGACATTTACCTCAATGCTGGTCCCATGTTGTTTAGTGGAGACAAGGACCACAGATTTGAGTACAGCCATGGTCCTATTGCCGTTCTGGCAAACAGCAGTGACCCTTCCACAGGGCCAGAGAGTACTCATCCTTTGCCAGCAAAGATGCACAACTATAACTATGGTGGTAATTTACAGGAAAATCCAGGTGGCCCAAGCCTCTTGCATGGGCAGACCTGGACGTCCCCTGCCCAAGGCCCTGGATATTCACAAGGATACAGGGGACACATCAGCACATCAGCTGGCAGAGGTCGAGGCAGAGGGTTACCATATTGAGTATCTGTTTTTCCTCAGGCACATCATTTTTATCTGGAAAGACTTTCTAGCTGCAATTTAAAGCAGCAATCCAAGAGACTTGAATAATATTAATTCAACAACAGCTTTATTTTTATGTGGAAAAGGGTCTTGCATACAATAGTTTAAAGAAACTTTGCTTAAATTCATGCTGTTCTTAAAATTAGATCTATTGATTGTACATCTTCACAAATTCTAGTTAACAATTTTATTTTGTATTCTTGCAGTTTTAAGTGGATGCTAATCTTAGGGACATAAGCTTTTTATGGCCCTCTTGCAAATCTTCTGAACTATGCACATTTGTGCTTTTTTTGTAAGTTTGGACCAACTTTTATGTAACAACAACCCATCCCTGCCCCCCTCCAGTTTTACAACAATCAGAAAGGGCACTGATTTATTTGGTATTTTTCTTTTTACAAAGCTACCTTTAGTCAAAGGTCACTGTCCGTCTTTGCACCTGCTTTCAGTGTTATTGTGAAAGGTGTACTTTGTGCTCATTTCAGAAAATAAAACACAACCTTTCTCTTGATGCAACAGTTTTATAAAAAAAAAAAATGGTCAACGTTATTTTTGTTTTGTTTTATGATTACCATAGCCTAGCAAAATGCATTCAAATGAAATAGTGGGTTTTATATGAAAAATATGGGTGGGGTGGGGAGGGCTAAGTAAGTGCCTTAACAGGTAAGCTTAAGGTCTGAAAAGCAGTTTACACCCATTTGTCTTTTAAAGGGAATCAATGCATTGTATTAAAGACGTAGGAGGCTCTCAAGTTTTTAGGGGCTGCCTGTTCAGTTCGTTACGTCCATTCCCTCTGCCTGTTAGACTGTCTCCTTTTCTGCCTGTCTTTGGGCTGTGTCAACTTTTACTGTTACCTTCTCCTTTTAGGGGACTGAAAGCAAAGAAAGGGAGTAGAACTGTAACCAGTATCTTCTGTCACTTCTGAGAAGTTCTAAAATGTTTTTTCATTTCATGGTTGAAAGTAGTAGCTACATGAGAATTTTAGAGTAGTGTTTTCTTTTAGGCTGCCACATTGTTTCCACTTGGAGGATGAGTTCAGAAGCAAGAATTAATAACAGATTTTACATAAGTTTGTTAAACTTTAAGGAAGGGGGGGTGGCAAACACAGTATTTAAGTTTTTCAATTGCCATTTTAAGAAAAAGTCAAGTTGTTAACTAGAAACATTGCCTAGATTGAATTTATTAAAGCAAACAAAAAGAAAACAGATAAAACCTTTTATTTTCCTTCCCCTCATCTTTATAAAGTTTATTATGGCTTCTGCTAGACTTTTTCATTAAAAGTAAAAAAAGAAATTGGAATAGCCTTCATTTAAACTGTAATATTGTCAAGTTTCAAGTTTTAATACACACACAATTAGAATATTCTGGAAAGGAACCAAAGGTAATTAACCAGTATATCCATCATCATTAAGTGGAAAAATAGGCTCTGTAAATTTAAAGTTGTGCCAATTAACCACTTTGCTTTAACTGTTCTGGTAACTTACTTTTTATTGGAGTCTTAAACTGGAACAACTGTTATAGAATGAAGATTGCTCCAGGTCTAAAAGCCATGCTCTCTGTTTCTCTGATTTATGAACCTGCACTTCAAAACAGAATATGGAAAACATTACAGTTTGGTAACAATAAGAATATGTTAAGGTGCATAAGTTACCATTTTACTAGTACAAAATGAGTTGATGTTAGTTGCCCATTTTATTTTTTGATGTAATGTTTTGTTTGGGGGAGAAAGATGAATGGAAAATAATTGTTTTTATTTGAATGAGTACTAACAACTTAAAACTACATTACAAGAAGTGAAGAAATATTTTGAAATTTAGTAAAATAGCTATAGTATTCAAGTTTCTGAAATTTTAATATGGTGAGTCGTAGAGCTTTAGACTTTCTTATAAGTGACAGTAAGTTATTCTTAATAGTCACACCTGATAATTCTGCTGACCATAAGCAGCTAACCTAAATTTTAAAATATTTATGTGACATGAATAGCCTGTGTTTTTAAAATTAAATATTTTATATAAAAGTGAACTGTGTTTGGATAGTTTTTCTAATTAAGCACTTCAGTTATGCATTTATGTTGGGAGAGTGGGAAGACAAGGAGATTGTTGGCTTTGAAATGAAAAATTTGAACTATACCTTCAGTCTTAAAGACAACATTGTTTGTTAGCCATACTAATATTTTTTGTACCACTTAGAAGAAAAAAGTGTTGCCTGTTAAACCATAATACAATGCTGAGTCTGTCAATTGTAAAATAATCCTAGATTCAAAGGTATTTATATTAAAGAATATATCTTAAAATTGAAATGTGGTAGTAAAAAAAAATCTTAATGCAGGCCTCCATAATATTTAATTCAGTGAATTTGGATTAATAAAAAGAGTGGGGTTGGGAAATCACTAATTCTTTAGCTTATAATGACTACAGCAATCACTGGGTATGTTTTAGTGAAATCTGAAGAGTGTAAAATACTGCGTAAGGTCTTTTGGAAAGAAGTGGGTAAGTCAGATTGCAAGTAAGATGAAATTAGAAAAGTTTGACCTGTGTAAAGGAGAAAATATTTATCTTCTCCCATGTGAAATTCCATTTTGTATTTCCTGACACAGCAAATTCTGCATACAACTGAATGTGGTTCCCAAATCTTCATTTTCTGTTGGGGATTTGAAGTTTTAAGTTACCGATTCAAATAATTTATGAAGTGTGAATTACTTTAGCTGTAATTCAGCATTTCGTCGCTGGCAGCAATGATATATTAATTGCCTACCATGTGCTAGGTATTATTGTAGTCCTTGGGTTACACCAGTAAACAGGAATACTGTTAAATGATCTAGAAGGCTGGCAGCAAAGTTTTAAGATGTCTGGAGAAGCTAGCAGCATCTGCTACTCTGAGCTATCTCTAAATTATACTTAAGTGTATAAAAGAATGGAAATTTGAGTGTAAAAACTTAAACTGAAACTTGAATAGGGAGATAAGGTTTTGAGAGGAATTAGAACTGGAATTCGGTAATGAAAAAATTTTAAGTTGAATTTGGCTAATTGGTAATAGACTGACAAATAACCAGTATTATTCAAGAAAAACAAAAAGGATATGGGTTAAATGCCTCCAAACTCTCATAACTGGTACTTGTAAGTTAAGATTTTGGTGTATTTGGTATAAGCTCTGTCCAGTTTTGATTTATTTTAGCCCTAGGCTTAAGTAAAGCTAAATACAAACGTACATGTCTAGTGATACCCTTGGATAATGGTTTTGGTATTTTTAAAAGTCTGAACAGGATATACCAATACATAAAAGTGTAATATGGTCAGTCTCCTCACTATGCAGCTAATAAAAATGAGGTTTAGGATTTTGGGACCTTTTTAGGACAACTGGATTGCCAGTGTTTGTTCCTGAGTCATTATCTAGCTTAATGGTAAAGTTGCATTAATAACCTGACAAGTGTTACAGTAAAGTTAAATTATTAAATGCAGACTATCAGACTAATAACACTAGTAGCTTTTAAAAAGCTTATTTAAGACGAAGTATGATTCTAATTCAGAAAAATAAAATTAAAATTTTAGGAAATTAGTAATGTGTAGGGACTGTTCATTTCACATATTGGATTGATTATTTTCCTGCAGTTCTGGAGATCCAGTAGCCCTTTTAAATATTTAAAATTTTGAGACAGGGTTTCAGTAAATTGGCTATACTGGCTTCACACAATTCTTCCCTTCCTTCTTCCTTCAGTCTCTTCTGTCCTGGGATTGAACCCAGGAGTACTGTACCACTATATCCCCAATCCTTTTTAGTTTTTATATTGGGACAGCATCACCCTAACTTGCCCAGGCAGGCTTCAGACTTTGATCTTCCTGCCTGTGCCTCAGCCTGCCTGCCTACTAGCTGAGATTCTCTTTGTGCCCAGCTTTTGATAGTGTTTTAAAAGAAGTTCCTGGGACTGGAGGTGTGGCTCAGTGGTACAGTGCTCCTAACAAGCTCAAGGCCTTAGTTTCCATTCTTAGCAAAAAAAAAAAA